GAATAAGTTGCAAGGAAGTTAGACCCTTCCTTGGGCTTGGTAGCTGATTTTCAGGCTTCCTCTCCGGAATCGGAAAATATCAATAGTCATTTTTCTAAACAATATACGGCTGATTGATCCCAAAGTTTGGATAAAATAAATATAGTTCGGGAAGACTGAAAAACACGCTTTTATAGCCTACGAAACTAAAAAATGAAAAATAAATATAGTTGTCGCACCTCTACGAACGACAACCCTCAGAAATCGAAACATGTGCGAGCTAAAGATTAACGAGGTCTTAACTTTCAATGTGTGATTCCTAACACGGACTAAGAACTAAAAAACACGCTTTTGAAGAACATCAAACTAAATAGTTGATTTTTTTTTGATAAGCTTAAAACAATAACGAACGAAAAGTACTGCTATTATTGTGAAAAAAGCGTGGGCGCTTTGTACCATATTTTTTGTATATTAAGGGCCCGTCGCTTTTTTCACATAAACACTAGTATTTTTCGTTCGTTATTGTTTCAACCTGATTTTTGAAAAACATATTTTTAACTTGTTAGTTCGAGGTTCTTTGAAAGCAGGTTTTTTAGTTTTTTGAAACTATATTTATTTTTTCAATTATTTTCTTTCTTTCACTTTCACGTATATGATAATGTGTTCCAGAAGAACTGAAAATAATTTTAAAAATATCAAAAAAAGTCTAACCCTAAATTGAGAAATTTTTCACTTCATTCCTCTGGTTGAAATTATCTTCTTTTTTACAGCAAATTTCTTCCGGCGTCCAAGTGTTTCACCGAAATGATCAAGGACAATTGTCAAGACAGTGAAAATCTCAGGAAATTCAGAAATGACTATATAGGAGCCATGGAAGTTCCTTGTGGAACAAAGGAGTCATATTAATACCCATTTTTTCAATATGATATAATATATTTGTAAAATAATATATTTTCGAAAATAAACTGTTTTCTCTCTCAATCCACTTTCTCAGCGGACAGGCTAATGTTACTACTTCAAATAATAATAATGATGTCTTTATCAGAACAGCATGAAAAACGGAGCAAATGTGTTTTACATTCATTTACTTGTTGGTTACCTCGTTTACAGGCAGATGGGACGATGACAAACTTGTTTGTCGTTACCTTCAGCCTAGTTCGAGAAATGATATTCTTAAAAGAATTCGAGTTTCAATTATGGAAAATCTTCGACTTTATGTTGATGATAACCAAACAGCCCGAAACCGGTCTGCAAGTGTGTTCCAATGATTGAAAATCTATTGTGGCACTTGTATCGCCAACAGCATATGCAGGAATAACTTCAGTGAAGAATCCTGCACAGACACCTGTCGGATATAATCCAACGCCCTTCGTGGTATTAGCCAGGGGAGTAGTTGTTTTCTGATAGGTGTCAGTCCATTAACCTACAGTGTAGGGTGTTGAGACT